TAGCAAGTTGATGTCAGTCAGCTTAGATGGTCCAAGCCAAATTATATCGCATTTGAAGTTTCAAACTGAGTTAAAAATAGTGGAAGAAAAGCTGTAATTATACTTATTGTTACAATCCATTTAATAAAATGCAACATTTTTTTGTTTTAATGAAAAAAATCAGTTATTTTCATGAGAACGATTTGTTATTCCATCTCAATTTTTTTAATCTCCAATCGCAATAACGTAAAGTATTATTACCCGCAAACCAATGAGTCAAATTTAAGAAACAACCCACTGTTAGAAAGCTGAATGGCTACGCTTTAAAATGAATGTAAACTTTAACGTTTTCGTCTATTATTTGTTTAGTAATTTACATTTCAGTCGAGGATTGCGCTTTTTTTGATACACCCTGTACACTGTGTGCTAAAATATTCATTAAAAATTTCAGCTTTCTCTCTTGCGTCAATTATTAAGCGATCATTTTCAATTAATGTAGGGATTCCAGATTGTATTTTATTACCATACAGTGATTTCACTAACCCCCACCACTTTTTTGGTCCAATATTTGGGTTCTGTAATTCTACATTAAGATTTGCAAAGTATCTTTCCTTGCTTGAACGTATTAACGATGTGGTATAATTTCTTTGCAATCTGTAATTTTCCCATGCCACTAAATTTTTCAGTCGCCCAAATACTTTTAACAACCTATTTCTTTTGCGAATTGCACGCCTAATTTCAGAAGTCATCCAAGGTTTATCTCTTGGACGAGTTACAACTGTTCTGTGCGGAACAAAGGTTTTAAGTACTTGCTCAAAACAATTAAACCACTCATTATATAAATCATCAACATTTTCAACATCCTGAAATAACTTGTCCCATGCAGTTCACCTCCGACAAGGCTTGACATAACGTATTAGAATCTACTTTGGCTAAGTCCCAAATTGTCGTTTATAACATTTTTGTTTGGCAAAGGAAATGTTTATCCGAGCATAAATTAAAGAATGGTCACAATTATACGGAGGGCTTAAAGTACCAGAATTAACAAAATATCCCGGAGAATTTGTTATAATTAAATCAAGTATTGAGGCACCATGTGCTGTTATACGAGTTGGTTCGTTTATCACTTGAAAAAGACTATTGCACGCCATCCACCTATAAAAATTTATTCCGAAGTCACTACTAGACTGAATATCGTTTACGTCAAAATGAGCATTAAAATCCCCAAGAAGTAAAACAAAAGTGCCGGGTCTAGCATTTATACTATCTACACAAAATTGTAAATGATCCAAGAGAGCATCATTAAGTACCGAATTATAATTTGGTGGTCGATAACAAACACCACAAACAAATGTTAAAGAATTGACTTTGATTTCAACAAACAATAATTCAAAATCATCATGTTCTAAATCATTACGCCTTATAGAAGCTAAACTAGAAGAAACATACAATGCAACACCCCCGCTCTTCTACCATCTTTTCTGTCCAATCTAAACATTGGACTAAAGCCTGGTATACATCATAAATCACCAGAAATACTCGGATTTAACCAAGTTTCAGAAACAGCAAAAATATCTAGTTTGTGTTCGATAACAAGAGACGAAATCTCATCAAATTTGTCTTCAACATTCAAACTTCTAGCATTAATATGGCCTATGTTTAATGTTAAATTACGTGGACCGGGGTTAATTTCAACATCTCCAGACAATAGAATTAACAAAACTAAATAAGCTAAGTGGCATACCGCCACCTTATTTTCAATACATAAAAATTGACTAATAAGAGTCCAAATAGCTGCTCTATACATTATCAAACTAGGCTCCATTGGGATTAAAATACCAATATAAACTTACCTCGGGCTGCTCAATAGTTAAACAATTAGATACAAGAAGAATAAACATAATAAAGGACAAAGTAATAGAAAAAGCACTCATACAACTAACAAAGTATAATAAAATTGAGTAAAAGGTAAAGGAAGGAGATTATCGATCATGAATATGTACTCAAATCCTATTTTCGCTTAATAATAGAAATTGTACCATCATATTTTCTCTTAACAAAGATATGACCATCAGAGGTATAGACCGAAGCTGTATCACGGCACTTTTCTTTCGCAACAATTGCTGGTTGATTCTTGTTAAATCTTCATTCACATACAAAGATTTCCCCCGCAGCCTACGCTTGTTTTTTAATATTGATAGCTTGCTGTGAAAGCTTTTAAGCTTGATAATAATAGCACGAGGACGGCCATCGTCGTGCTGGGGTTTACCGATTCGGTGAGCACGATCAATTTCACTTCGCTCGATTGCCACTCCCAACTCGCGATCACAAAATTTCACAACTTCATCGTAGCAGTCCTCCGTTTCTTTCTCGGTAATACCATAGAAACGTAGATTGTTTCGGCGAGAGTATACTGCTCATTTTCATTCGCTTTAGCATCGACTTCACCCAACTTTCGATGCAGCTCTGTCACTTCACGTTTTAAGCGAGTATTCGTGTCCTCGAGCGCTTTCATTCTAACATCGATTAGTTCAACGAATTCGTTCTTAAAACACTTGATAGCCGCTTCAACTGCGACATTAATTGCTGTAGAAAGAACTGCTCTAAAATCATCTGATTTCATAAAAGCTTCTATCTTTTGATCAAGATTGACAAGACACCCTTCGCCTTCGACTTTCGAGCTTGAGCGAGTCTTTGACATGATATCAAAACGTAATAAATTATCAGCAATCAATTTCAAAGGACTTCACATAAATTCAAAGTAGCTCCACAACCTTTCACTCAAAGGTTACATATAGATTTTAAATATATCAGTATTTGTAAACTTATAAACGGAGCTCAGAATCGCAATGCTCGCTCCTTGCCTGTTGTCGAAGTCAACTTCATGATATCGATCAATTTCTACAGAAGAAACACAATATTTCACCCCCAACTCTGGTGGATACAATGGCATCCAGTTAAAAAAAGTCCGCTGAAGAAAACAACGCTGCTACAGGTTGGAATGTTACGAGATGTAACAAGAATTAGAAAGACTTGAGAGTATATTAATAAAATATTTATGTATGAAATATTCTAGAATGTTCTATGACTATGTGCGCGTCTATAAATCTACACAGGCAGCCATTCTCTCCATCGCAATAATTGGTTTCTTACTTCTCTTGTGTTTATATAGTTAACGATATATGGTTGAAAAATACGACGCAAGTGTGGTACTTGCGACTATGAGCAAGAAATTAGGTCCGATGGTGTCCATGTGTCTGCTGCGGGAGCTGTTTCGGTCTTTTGTGATGAAGATGAGTTTTTCTGCCCAAATTGTCATGAAGTTGAAGATGTGGTGAGCATATGCTTGTTATTCAGAATGTTTGATTAGTTGTCAAATTTCGAAACAAGCAGATTGATAGATAAGGAAAGAACTAATTTGAACCCAAACGCGTGCATCTTCACTTCGCCAATTGACGGGCATTGTATCGGCATTGTAACTGTACACGTACTGATATTGTTATTTAGGTTAATGATGAATATGGTAAAGAGGACAGCAAGCCTAAAAATACCAAAGAGACCAAAAAGCCTGAAGATGTTGGTAAGGCATGCAAACCTGCAGAAAAACTTCCAGGAAAGAAAAAAAGAAAAAGCAGTATACTGTAAGGGATAAAACAAGTGATTTGCCAAATATCAGTGAAGGTTTGCCATAAAGTAGTTCCTGCAAAAGTTTGACAATTTATTTTTTGGCCTTTGAGAATACACAATCAAATTTATTTCAAATTTTTACCAGCCACATGATTACATTTTCTGGTAGGTATCAAACACTGGAGGAGCAAAGGATTGCTAAAGAGCACAATTTAGAATTAAGCAAATAAATCTGGAAAAGGAAATGAGGAATTCGAAGAAGAAAGGGAACACGAGTTTCGCATGATGCAATTGTTGATGGGACAACAAGCTTATTCTAATGTTCCATTACCAAACCCATTACCATTCAATATGCCTGTTTCTGTCGCTCTAAATAGCTCACCCACAAGTCCCACAACGCCTCAAATTTTCAATAATGGTGATACTACCGGCACGAGCTTTTCTATGTATCCAAGTGGTAGCGAACACAAACATACTATAAATTATGATTGTTGGATTCTACTTAGTGGTTAAACAAGGCTCTGTTTATGTTCTTTCTTTTTTGATTCATGGGAGTCATGCATGCTCTTTCTTGTTTTAATTGACATTTTTACAAACATTACCGGTATACGCCGTATAACCGTTTTATCACGTTGTCAAATATAGAGCCTAAAAGCAAAGACTTTTCATCTAACATATATTTATATATTAATATATACTTGTATTTCAAACAATATATCTTGATTATGATTGTTCTTACTAGTAAATAGTTACTTTGTATTTGATGAACGTTTTCTTTTGTAAATTGCAGCAGTTCTTCGTCATCTCTATTCAATAATCCGATTACATTCTTCCGGCGCTAGGCCTTGGAAGGTTTTCACTAAATTCCTTTGAGTGTAAGGGTTAAGACGGTTTTCCAGTCCTCGCACGAAGCAGCTCGCTGCGAGTGCTTGCATGTAATTAAAATGAACTGTTTAGCATTGTGATTCGGATGAAAGTAGTCGGGCAGATAGAAGGAAAACAACTCACCAATCGAGGGGCAATTCCATTTTGCCTTCATATTGTGCTCTGATGGCTAGTAATTACGTTTCTGAATGTTGGCCGCGTTAAAATTTCTTGTGGGCTCCTGCCAACACGTTTTTCTTCAAATATTGTATTAAACTCTATTACAGTTAAAAAATGTAAAATTTCAAATACATTTCTAACACAAATAACTTACATCATTCGAAAGGTTGCAAAAAACTACATCTAACACATTTTTACGGTTACCAGGGTTTTTCAAGTTCTTGAGTTATGAGCTGTTGAAAGCGTATTTTCAGACTAGTACCCAGCAATTTTGCGAGATTTTGGCTTATTTTTCACGTTTGAAGCGGCAAGAGCTCGAAAACCGCTTGAAAATCCCAACGATCCATTTAAATGTCTTATATGTAGTTTTTTGTTAGCTTTCTATTGATGTAAGTCATTCGTGTTAGAAATGTATTTGAAATTTTACATTTTTTAACTGTAATAGAGTTTAATACAACATTCGAAGAAAAACGTGTCGGCTGGAGCCCACAAGAAATTTTAACGCGGCCAACATTCAGAAACGTACTTACTAGCCATCAGGGCACAATATGAACGCAAAATGGAATTGCCCCTCGATATGATGAGTTTTCCATAATTTTGATCCTCTATCTGCCTGACTAAAGTGTTCATGCATCACTCACAGCGAGTTGCGAGGAGCTTCGTGCAAGGACTGGAAATCCGCCTTTAGAGTAGACTTGCCCACAAGTCGATCTCGAGTGGCGAGCGGCGAAGCCGCGAGATCAACTTGTCTCGTTTGCAGGAATTTGGATCTGATTAAAAATTCTGGCGCGAAAATTATTGCAGTTAATTATTACGCATGTAAGTTTCACAAAAGTTGTCGATTTCAATTCAATTTGTTTTCCTGGAAATAAAAAGACAAATGTTTGCGAAAACATTTAACTATTACAGTAATAATTGGAAGAGTTCATTGTAGTGAAACTACTGTTGTTTGCCGTTCTTGCATGTAGGGACACAAATGCCGCTTTACGCCTTTACTCTTTAGTTTAGAAAATTAACTCAGTTAAACAACAGTTCGCCTCTATTGCAAATATTTTATTGCATCTTCGAGAACAAACCATATTTTCTACTTTGAAATGACTTTGTTTTATTGTTTATTTGTATTAAATAAGTCGAACGCCTAATTACTGTAACGTATTTGAATAATTAATTCAAATAATTTGTATATGCGCTTTTATTGGCTAGAATAATGACACACCCCCAATCACACCCCAGTCAAAAAATCCACCGGTAGATTTAGATTTGGCGCGCTGCAAGTGAGAAAAGTCCTTTCCAGCGTACTTACGAACCGCGAAAAAGAACTGGAAAGGACTTTGGGAAAGTCTAGGGTTAGAGCATTTTTACACTTAATTGTGATCTATATATATCCGGATATGGAGTGCTGGTAGCCCTGAATTTATCTAATTTAAGGCACTCTATATCCCATATTCATGGCCCACAAGTGAGGATAACTAAATTACATTACACCCAGAATTTTGAGTGTATAATCATTCGGAATATGTTATATTTTACGGTCATCAAACTTAGCTTTGAAATATACTGCAATAACTGCATACATACCCTGGAACCAGAGGGTATTTATTTTCGCCTGTTTTGAATAACCCTCTGGTGAAATTGGCCTAGTTTTTGGGTTCACATTCCACGCATAACTTTCAAAAATGGAACTAAAGAGTTGATTGGCTGCTGACTATAGGTTCGATAGACTACGTGTTCTGATTGGATATTGTAAACATCATAGCCTGTTCGCAGGCGTTTCGTGTTTTGATTGAATTGAAACATTTGAATTTTGAAATGTCTATATTATTAAATAAACGAACAAAAGTTGAAAGAAGCAGTTTTATAGGCTGCATTAATAGATAGATTGATAAATTTCCTGAATTAAAAGTTTAACGGAGCATCAATACCGCGCCTTGTCCAATTTGATTCACATTAAAGATGTATTTGCATCTTGCTATCGGCTATGGGAAGAGTTTAATATTCCAAAGTTCTAACACCGAGAGTAGCACGACGACTTGGCAAAAGCCACAATTTTCTGGAGAAACCCATCTTAATAGAGTGAGTTAATAGTCATTTGTAAATTGAACTCTTTCATTGACTCTCACGTCCGTGAACTAAGAAAGCGTGGATGCCGTGTTACTTCACTGTCAAACGAAGAGGACGAGAAAGCAATACTAGATGGAGAGTTTACATTCGCATTTTGTAATCCCGAGTCTATTATTCGAAATGCGAAATGGAGAGGAATGGTTTCATTTGAAATCTACAAGACAAATTTGCTTGCTTTTGTATTAACAGACAAAGTTCACGACTTCACGTCGGCCCAAAGAGGTGTGTTTAATAAATTTATAAAATACAGATTTTTTTGAATGTATATTGCAGGATTAATAAATTGAATGTATATTGCAAGATTAAAGTGAATGAATATAAATATATATTTATATTAAATTGAATAGATGTGATGTTTTAAATTGAATGAAATTCAGGAGAATGAATATTGCTACAAATGGGCAGGCATACACTGGACAGTAAACATGCGATAAAACCCTGTCTAGACGGCCTGGCGTCAAGGATAATGATTGGTAATATTTTTAGAATATGATGCATTAAGCCATTATACATTTTTTGCATTCTTTATCCGAACCAGGAATCGCTAACAAATTCACCAGAGGTTTTTCCTTTTTCTTCGCGCGTTTTCTCGCATTTCGCGTTCGGCAAACCTAAAAAAACCTCTGGGCCAGGGTACTGCATACACTACTTCCGTCCCTAAAACTGTATACTTATGTCTAACTGGTGAAATATTCAGCTAAGGCATCTCGGATTAGCTCTGCGTCTGGTGCTGGCGTTTCATCGATTGGAAGTATTGGTTCCTCGATAAGTACTTCAGCGTCAGCCCAATCAGGAAGAAATTCATTTTTTAGAGCTTCGCATATGTTATGTGACACACAGGAGGCCAGTACAACATGTGCCAGAGTACTTATATCCATGTCCATCCGCTTTGTGAATCTGATGAATCTTCTTTTCCACCTACCAAAGGTGTTTTCTCCCGTCATTCGTGCACGACAAAGACGATAGTTAAAAACACGTTGACTTCTTGTTGCCTCGTTCCTAGGGTAGCCCTTTAACACCCATGATAACAGCGGATAGGCCGGGTCCGCAAGAATTACCGGTGGCATCTCCACCCCACATATTTCCCTATTGAGGTCATCTGGGAAAAGACAATTATCCCTTCCTTGGTAATGTATTGAATCAATATTTGAGCAACACTTCAATTGGAACGACAGTAAGGGCGCAGTATTTAAGCGGGCCGTATTCAAGAGTAGGGGTGCTAGTGCATCTTGATGGCCCGCCAAAATGTGTAGTGTAAACGATGCTGATATTTCAAGAAAATGATCCCCGTGCCATTAGTTAAGAGTGCCGTGCCAAAAATGAGTGTAGTGTAGTGTAAACGGGGCTTGTACCTCGTGACCACAATTCGTTGCAAGCGGCGTGTGAAAAACTGCAAGTTTCAGTTTGACAGTTCTGGCAGTTACATAGTTTCTAATTTTATTGTCCAATCAGGTGCGTAGTTTTGAATTAAAAATTATAGTATAGTAATATAGTATAGCTCAGTGTAATATAACCTGAAGTTCAGGTCCTAATTTTAAATAGGGCCTGACAAAAAACCTGTCTAAACTATGTGGGATTCCCGTCCATCTGGTGGACGGGAAATCTGATTGGTTGATCAACAACATGAAAGATTTTGATTGGTTGCAAGTTCACATAAACAATAGTTTTAAAAATAGCTCGGTCAAGCCGACAATTAAGGTCAAACGCATGTATCAAATTACATCGAATTTCTTCGAATTTCTTTTCTTTTATGCTTTATTTATGGTAGATCAAACAAACAGTATTTTGAAAGGGCTTCATTAAAATCTTTGACGAAGTCCAAATTAGACACACGACGCTGAAAGAACAGCAAAACTAATCATGTATTCGAAAGCTTGTTGTTGATAGCCAAGATGTCTTTGCTGTTCTGTCAACTGGCTTCGGCAAAAGTCTTATTTATCAGGTCCTACCAAAACTGGAACGCTATTTCGACCGCCATCTTTGAAGCTAAATTGAAGGAGGTTTTTCTGAGTTTTGAGCCGAAATACTTGACGCCAAATGTTGGTTTATATGTCAAACTGAAGCTATTGAAAGGCGCTATTTCGTGTAGAAATTTCACGACTTTAGCTAAAAGGGAAGTATCTTAAAAATATTTCAGATATTTGCTATTTTTTGCCGATTAGCAGTTGTTTTTGTATTTTTTTAAATATTTCCCTTTTAGCTGAAGTCTTGAAATTTATACACCGAATAGAATTTTTCAACAGCTTCAGTTTGATATATAGCCCAATGTTCGGCGTCAAATATTTCTACTCAAAACTCAGAAAAACTATTTCAGCTTCATGCAATCATAGGGCTTAATCTTAGGAGTTATCGTTCCAGTCTACTTATAGTTCAATGGGTCCTACCGGCGTTGTTTTCTGAGCTACATCGCCTTCTTCTTGGTCAGTACTTTCATTGCAATTGTGTAGATAGTATATATAATTAATAAAATTTAAAACACCTATTGTACTAAAACTAGACATGCTAAAACAATTATAAACCTATATCAAATCTTTCAGTTAATGCTTTTATTGTATTTATCGATCGCATATACCAAAGGCAAAGGACATTTTAAAAAGTTTGTGGGGGGGGGAGAATAATTAGATATTCGTCCCCCCCACTCCAAAAACTGGGGGGCATGTCCCCCCCCCATCCCCGCCAAAAATTTTTTGGTCAGTGTACAATTTTAGGGGTCAAAAATGTTTTCCGGACATACCAACATTTTTCGAAACATCACAAAATTGACCACAAAATCTACACAATTTGTCCCATTTTTTAAAATAATAAACCAAAATTGCCCGACTGTTCAGCGAATATTGCCCGACTGCCCAAAAAACTGGGGGGGCTGCCGCCCCCCCCCCCCCCCTGACCACCATGGATGATTAAAATAAATGGATAGGAAACTAGCCGACGTGACCTAATGTTTTCAATGGGCTGATGGCGTGATTGGATGTTGAAACCTAGTTGCAAACCAAATTCTCAAAAACGGCATGTTTAGCAATAATACAGCTAAACATTTTAGTCAAAGAGCAAATGAATATAACTACGCCATTCTACGATGAAATCTCTAAGTATTCCCAGTCAATTTTAGCAAATATTTCAAGCACTAAACAGTGAAAAATGCATCCCAAATTTCGTTAAAATTGGTGACGTCAATTTCGTAGCTACAAATGTAAAAAAATACAAAACAAAGACGAAAAACATTTTCCTTGAATACTTTGTTGTGGCTTAGGCATGTTTTTAAAACAATTAGACCAGTTCATGCTTCAATATTACTCTTTTAAAGCAGAAACAACAAAAATGCCGAGAACTTTGCAATACGCGTGACGTCACAGATTGCAACTAGGTTGTTTTTGCTTACGTCAGCTCGAGTCCTATCCATTTATTTTATTATCCATGCTACAACTGGCACTGTCAATATAAATATCATCAAGGTCAGAATCATCAGTGGTGACTGTCTGCTCTTTCTTGCTCTCTTGCTGTGTGTCTTTCTTGTGGCAGGTTTTTTGTTTAACATGCCGCCGAGATGTCTTTCCCTTCCGTTTAGCTTTCTCCATGCATTATTAAGTTTGTTTTTCACAATGGAAGTAAGATTTTCTAGCTTTGGTAATGCAGTATCCTTGAAAAATTTCAGCTCCTCTTCATAACCTTTAACATATATGAAAAATACAATGTTTTCAGGGCCTTGGGGTCGTTGATAAATGGATTCCATCCTGCAATCGTGAATTTGTCAGAAGCAGTCACCCCCTGAAAATATATAAAATGGAACTTTTTCAGGGGGGTGACTGCTTCTGTTTACAGCACTTGCTATAAAGCACGAATCAATGACGAATCGCGCGTTACGCAGAAAACAATAGAGTTTGATTTCTGTGTAGTATTCTGTGACCCAGCCCCCTTTCTAGTCTCTTCTATGCCAACGTCGTCTACAAAAAGTCAACAGACATCCTCGTTCCCAGGGCTTGGCTGCCTTTGTTGTCCCGGGACAAGCTGAACTGAAATGCGAGTATGGATGAGCAAACCGACTGGGTGTTCCGGTTTCGGCTTAACCCAGGGCTTATGGCAATGCAGGCAGCCAAGAAGCCCTGAGAACGAAGATGGTCTACATGAGGAGATTTCTCAAAAGGAAGAGAAGAGGCTGGGGACTAGTGTGTGTTGCCGTGATATTTAATAAACCAGCCCAAAATATTCACTTTGGTGCACCCACCAAGTGTGCCAAGTTTCGTTGAATTTTTTATTTAAATTATCATCAAATATTAAAATATAACCTCAAAATATAGAAACTGTGATAAACTTGAGAATAATATGAGATATGGATAAACTTTAAACATCTCTCTTCATTATTCAAATAATAAAAAGAGGCAAAAATGTTGTTCCATTTATAATGCTTTATTTTAAAGACTGACTACAGTCTATGCATTTTAATTAATATACAAACAAACATGGCTTTGTGTGTTGTCTGTTGATGTATTTTTTTATTGACTTTTAATGTTTAGATCTGTGTGCCTGCTAGAAAAACCATTAGAACATTTCAAATTCTTACAAGCATTACACCAAGCTCTGCAGGGCCAAGAAGATGACATTCAGCCATCATGCATCCCCGAGGCACCACTAGCTAGGCAGGTACCAACCTTTTTGAAGCTGATGTCTACATCACGTGATAGAGCTGTTTTGCAGTTTGTTCTCGCAAGCATTTATTCAAATGAGTAACCTTCATAAAATGTTAGGCTATGTTTCTGCAACAGTCAATGCGATTAAAGAACAAGTACGTGATTTTCTATCTCAAGTTGAAATAACTCAAGAATGTTCCATGGAAAAATCAGAAAAAGCTGTTGAGATAGAGATTTCCAAACTTGAAAAGACTATTATTCAATCCGAGCATTCTTTGGAAAGAAAGAGAAAGCGCTTGGCTTTGGACGAAGTGGATGATCTTGAATACGAGTTACAAATAAAACGGCAACGTTTAACAAAACTGCGTCAGAAACCAAAACAGATGATGAAACGAAAGGCAAAGCGTCACTTTTGCTCTTGGAAGAATTCTCTGAAGAGGCAAACTGGTAAGAACAAAGGGAAATTTCGTTTTCATAGAGGAGCAGAACAGGCAGTGTACGAGGTTCTAGAGGAACAACTAAAGGCACATCGCAGGAGATGGGGAGAAGAAGGTACAGGGTACTTAGAAAGCCACCAGAAAAGACTTCATAAGCGAGACATGAGACGTATTGCCAACAAATACCTGGCCACCCACAAACAACGGTTAATCAAGAGTTGTGAGACAGTACGTTCATGGGGCAAATGTCGGAATAAACGCAGTAATCAATTGAAACAACATCGCGGTAGGAACTTGTGGTCCTTTGTTAGGTCGCAGAAAAACCTAAAGAATGACCATATAAATGTCCACTATAATAGAGTACACATTGAGAATTATACTCGGTTATCATATGGGGGCAATATCGATAGTCATTTGGTTGTTCGTAGGGCAATGGATGACAAAGCATACATCAGATGTGGTAGGATCTTCTCCGAAGGATTTTCCCGGCCTCTTCATCGTCCAGTGCAGGTAACCGATTCACATTTTGATATGCCAGCCTCGGACTACCCAGATACTGTTGGCTATGTTAGCCCTGGCGTGATAATGGTTGTTAAATCCATGAAGCAAGTGGCTGATCATGAAGATAACGATAACTACTCTATTAGTGATAGTTTGATCACGGCAACATACAAGCCAAAACATTATTATCCAAGCAGTGCTACAAACTGGCAGAACGACATGCCAGCGATCAGATATTTGTTTCGAGAAGAGCATGAAATTGAAGGTTCCACAACTACCACATTTATAGAAAAACTCCCGGAGGTTCTATTGGAAGCGAGTTGGCACACTTTGTTTGGCTGAGGGACTCACTATTTCAGTATGAACTGATGTGTATACCTAAAGATTACACAGGAATAGTCGACGGTGGTGATCATCTTGCGAGGGAAAAAATGAGACACAAGATTTTGCTTCAAAGGCTAAAATATTGCATCAAATCTTTCCAATCATGTAATGTCTCACTCGATGAATATGTAAAGATCAATGAGGGAATGGTGACACTGCAAGACTCGATTACGAAAGAAATTCGTAAGTGCAATGTGTTCTCAAAATAGGTTACAGTGCATTATTCAACAAACTTTGCGTTATTGATGTTGATACAATCAAAATCCAGTAAATTTTATATCTAAATAAAAAAGGTATTAATCGCCTGCATTTTCTTTCATAGTCACAGTTTTTAGCGACGAAACCAATAAATTTAGCCGTGAAGCCATAATAGAAAGATATAACATCATAACTGCCAGCTGCATGTTCATGCAAATTCTAGTTTATAATGACCTACTTTCGAAATTTAATTATGTTTCCTGTTCAACTGTTATATAGCTGACCTTTCTCGAATAATCCTTATATTTTGCCTGATCATTTTGGCTTTTATCATTTTCATGCTGTACTGTACCTTGTTTCATTTTCGCTAGTACTCCTAGTAGATCATCATGTGGCCACGAATAAACAATATGTACATTCTTCAAAAGTCATACACTCAGTTTAATAGCATTATTAAATATTAATACATCATTTCAACAGGCCAATTGACATCCAGACTACGGACGCTGGCCCTGGCGTGTCAAGTCATGAGCGTATGACACAATTTCGTATGGCGGAGAGCTTTATGATTAATGGTCTTGATATGCAGTGCAGATTTTATTATGCGCCTGGTACGGTAAATCATGATTTTTGTGTTTATGAACTATTAAAAGGCAAACCAGGTCAAACATATAAACATGGTATACACTATTTATATATATGGAGCATGTGCCCATGTGCAAATGAATAATGTGCCCATAACTGTACAAACCTCATTTTCATGTTAACATTGAACTTTTTCCTTTTAACGCCCCCAAAATATTCATTTGTTGCAGGGGATTCTTCCACACACGTTGCAGAACGAGTCATGCGCTCACTGAACGAATGCTTGGGGAATGGGCGTTCAATACCTATACCATACGATAAAGACACGATCATCTCTTCGAATGGGGAAACAAGACTTTTGGACCTCACCAAAGATGAGCTCAACAAATTTAAATCGGAGAGACACATGGATGCGGCTAATGAATGTGCGAAACGTGTGAAAGAGCGTATTGATGGGTACTTCAATCCACGCATTCATGCCACAAGAAGATCATCGGTCTTTCTACCTTGACGAGGCATTTGTGACAAAATGCCTTAATGCTAGTTCTTCTGTATCGCTGGCAACCTGTGCCGGTAGTGCATACTTTACGTATGTACAAGATTTCTATAAGGATCACTATTATTTGTATGATAACGGATGTGAGGGCATACGCAGTGGCTGTTCCGAGAAAGACA